TAAATAAAGGCCAATGATGAAAAGCTGCCCACATTAATCATATTTGTTAAATGAAATTATTTTACACTGCTAAAAAACTCAATATATTAGGGGAAGTGTAAAACAATGAGCAAATTCATAGGGGGGAAAAAAAACCAAAACACTATTTTTTGCCGTATCACATCCCTGGACCCCAAAGTCATTGAAGCACGAGAGTTGCAGAAATGAATGCTGCAAACTCTGTGAAGCCAGGGCTCCTATTAATGTTTGCCCCTATATTCACAGCATAGAGCACAGGGCAAGCATTCTTGTTGAATGCTTAGGTGGGTGGCTGGGTGGGTGAGACTTTCACGAGGTGTAGGAGCAGGAAGCATGAGCACCACCAGTGCGTCCTCCACAGTTGTTCTTTCTGCCCTGGTATCAACAAAGTAGCAGCGAAGTGCAGCAATAGTAGGATTAGAGCTCTAGGGAAATAGAATGAGCAGCTTACTACCTCCTTTGCTCCTTGCAAGCCCAGGTAACATTGCTCCTTCTTTCCTACTTCGGTTCCTGCTTTGAATCTTATCAGCCTATCCAAGGACCGACACAGCACCCGAGGCACTTCACCTCTCTGCCCAGTTCCTCCCAAGCTGGCTGAAAGAAGGGATCCTTAGCAGGGAAGAGCACAGGCAAACAACATACCTGGCTGCAAGCTCACAAAATCCACGATAGCATAAGCCTGTCTTCCATATCCTGTGTGTCTCTGCCCATGACTTCTAACGATGCTGCGCTTACATCCAGGGCAAGTGTTATTATCTGCCTGAATGCCTTTTATAGGTTTGGTCAGGTGGCCGTGGTAAGAAATGGTTGGGCACACTCCAGTTTGTGTATCTGCAACACTAATACATTTCCATAAACTTGCAATATATAAAAGTCCATTCTTCACAAGGTTATTTACGACCCACCATATATTGCTAACACTGAAATCGGAATGTCAATGAACTTTTATTGTGACAGTTTCATTACATCCCTGCACTCTTCCGAGACCCAGAAATTCTTCAGGGATTACAAGTACCAATAATAAGCCAAATTCTCATCCTATAGAAGCAAAAAGTATCACCAGGTCACAATTATTTAGCATTTTAATGTTTTTGTTCTGGGGCATGGGATAATACTTGAAGAGCACATATTCCTTTTATGGAACACTTTGGGACTTTTGCCACATTCTATCGAACTCCATGGAACCTTCCCATAATTTCACAAAGAAAGTCCCATATAACCCTCATACTCAGAAGTGGAAGACTAGCAAATTGATTTTTTTTAAATTTCAGGTCTTAAGAATATGGTTGGATAAGTTTAGACAAATATGCACATCTGAGTAACCCATGTCCTAAAAAATTGAGATATAGAGCATTGCTAACAACCCAGAAAGTTCCCTCATATTCCCTTCTAGTTAATCCCCTTACCCCAGGCAACCACTGTTCTGATTTCTATCTCCATAGGTTAGTTTTGCCTGTTGTCGAACTTCACATAAATGGAATCACGCAGTATGTTCTCTTTTGTGGCTGGCTTCTTTTACTCAACATTGTGAGTTTAAGATTCACACAAACTGTAGCAAATATCAGTAGTAGCTCCTTTTTTCAATGCTGAATAGTATTCCATTGTATAAATTTACTACAATGTGTTTATCCATTATTAACATAGAAGTGGCTGGTTGGGTACATGAAGATATTTCAATAAAATGTAACAAATTTCTGTTCATTCAAATCTACAACCCATACTTGGCTTTTGTTGATGGCTATCCCCAGAGCTCACTCTGATTTTTAATCCTTCAGTCCTCAAAGGGATGAAAAAACGGGCACAGGGAAAACAGGAATCACTTGAGAGTCTGAATCAAAGAAGAAAGCATAGAGAACAAGAAATAGGACATGTTAGGGGGAGATATCTTCTACATGAACTAAAATTGCTCTGTCCTGGATCTTGTCAAAGGTTATAAAAAGACCAAATTAAATGTAGGTCTAATCTCTCACTATTATCTTCCTCCTTATCTCTCCTAGCTCTTTTGACCACTGGTTAAAATTTCCTTTTTCTTGGTGGACAATCTAAAGGCTTTTAGTTATTCCAGTAAACCTTGCTTGCTTGAGTGTCCTGAAAGATGACTCTAGTTCCAATTAATACGGCAGTAAGGGCAACAGTATATATAAAAAAGCCTTTTGAATCTCTTTCCTTGGACCCTGTGAATCACACGTCAAAAGAGCAGTAAGGAAGGTTGGAGGAAATTACATAATTTATTATGATTTCTCATCATCAAGAATGTGCTGTGTCCACGGGGAAAGAACAACTCCAATAGATACTACAAAGGTTTCTGCTGGTTATTTGTGATTCCCCCTTCAAGGTGTTTATAACCTATTTAGAGAAAATACAGACAAATCTAGTCTGGAAATAAATGAAATAAAATCTCATTTCATCCAATTAGTTAGGTATCTGTAGGAAACAATACCATTCCAGCTGAGGAGTATGGGACAAGTCATATAAAAAAAGAATAACTGAACATTATACAGAGATTATACCAACTCATTATTATAAATACTGTAAATATTGTACAGTGAATAATGGTTCCTAATTAGAGATTAATTTTTGAGCCAATAACTATTTACAAGATCAAACCTTTGATAGTTTCATAGGTGGGATGTCTTTTTAATGGGTCACTCCAGTACTATGCCATGCTTCTTAACTGAAAATGGGATTGCTAATATTCAGAATTACTTAAACTTCAAGTCCCCACTTTGTAGGATTTCCCCAACAGAGCCTAATATTTTTTGTGACGTTGTTCTTTCAGAGTAGTAGCTCCCAAACAGAGCTACATTTGTAGTTGCCTAGAAAAAGTGGTAGATCTCAGTGAAGTACTGAACAGAGGCATGAAAAGTCAAAATCATGTAAAAAGGGCCATCTAGATTAGAAGTACACAAGGATATGCACTGGGAATGTCTTTTAACACAGGCAATGTCCACAGCAGAAATTAATCCAATTTGAAAAGAAGTAAAATTAAAATCTTTATAATAAGACTTTTTACATTGGGGAAAAAAATAGAGATGCCATATATCACAACTGAAATGCTGATATTACTAAAATAGAATTCAATATCTAATAAACACGAATGCAAAATTTCTATTACTGTTAACTTCTAACTTTCTAATAATATCACTAGATTAGCTTTTATTAAAGAATTAGATTTTTCTCCTTATAAGGACACTTAAAAGCAAGAGTAAGAGTTTGTCTTATATAAGATTTTTATTTGAATGTTCTGTAAAATTGTAATCACATTTAATGTTGGTGGGGGTAAAGTGTTATGTGATGTCATTTTATAACTTTCCAGAATATTTTGAGCCAATTGATATTTTCACAAGAATATATCAAGTATTTTCCAGGTTGTCTGCTTTATTCCTCTTGAAAAACACTACACACTTTTTAATCAAAACCCTGTATGTGTGTATTTTTGTATAAACATATAGTTACTGATATTTTTTTCTCATCCCCACTTCTCAGAGTATACTGAATTAAAACCAGATATTCATATTGGGATACAATCAAGGATCCCTTCATCTTAAACCTTGGTTTCTTGGCCAGAACTGGTACCCTGCCATACATCTGCCCAGGAAAACCACAGTCCATGACTGTCCAGCTTTCTCGGAATGAAATGCACTGCCTGGAGTTTCCAGGAAGAAAGCACATCTAATCATTGGATACTGTGCTCACAAGGGGCAAGTGAGGCTGTCCTCCCTGTCACCAATTAGCTCCCCATTCCCCAAGGCCAACCGCCCTATCCCATTTTCCCTCATGTCATGAGTCACCACCGTGCTTACAAAGATAAGTCTAAGAGTATGAACATTTTATCTGTCACAGAAACACAAAATAGACATGCTTTTCCATTATGTTTGACTCTGTAATGAAAGCCCTAGGAAGTGAGTGCAACATGAAATCATTCCTTCCGCCTCAGCAGACAGATGGATAGAGACATTCCAGTTTGTTTCCAGCCTTTTGTCTTTGGAGCATTTTTGGCATTTCCTTCAGGAAACTGGAGGTTGTGACCTAAGGTTTCCTTAGTGAACACACTTCTGTTTCCCACAGTTAACCTTACCCAGAAATGACATCTACTCTGTTAGGTGAGGTTTATCTTCACGTCCCAACTGTGTCCTGTGCATATTCAGTGACATTTGAAAGCACAAATTCTGAAAGTAACAATAGATCTGGAGAGCCAACCCACTTACTTTAATCCCCCAAAGATGACAATAATATCAAAACAAGAATTAACTATTACAGTAATTCTGTGATGACTGTAAAGTGCTTTGCTTTCATTTTGTAGTTGGAGACATTAAGGACCGGGAATGTTAAAGCTTTCAGATACTATGAATTGAAAGTTTTCAGATAAAAAAGGTGCTATGCTACTCAGCTCACATTCTACAACTAGCTATTTCATCAATATTGTATACTTGCATATGGTTCAGAAGAAAGGCTGGGAGAAGCCAAAACAGTGTCCTAAAAGAAATAAAATGATTTATTACCTCCCATATCCATACCCCTACTTCCCTAGCACATGGGTGGAAAGCCAAGAATGCATGCTTTTTTGAACTTATCTTTGAGTCTCATAATTTAAATTAGCTTTGCAACCACATTGTTGTACATTAATTCTTTAAAAATCCACATTTTTAGGACAGAATTTTTGTACTTAATTTAGTTTGACTTGAATGCAATTTAAAACTCAAACAATTACATTTACTTGCCAATGTGCTATTCAAAAGGTTGGTGGTTTTAATTTCATTCTTTACTACTCTTCAATGTTAACTTATTGAAGTTTCTCTTCCTGAAAAAGATAGAGCGGTTTCTAAACAAACCACATTCTTTTCACACCCTAGTTAATCAAGGTAAAAATCCTTTAAAGAATAAGAAAAACTTGCCCTTAACTTTGATTCCAAAGAGCCACAAAGTCAAATAGAATGTCTCAATAATTATTTTTAAAAATGCTCTTCACAAAGGGATCTTTAAAAAAAATCAATTTATTAAGGTTTAAAAGTTGATAAAGCTATGTGCAAAATGACCCACAAAAGTCAGAAACCTATTAAATACTATTTTTTAAACAAGACATTTCTTCGTTTAATTGCACTGAAAACCATGCTAAAGAGACAGTAATATATTTTTATTCTTTGTAAAATTTATACATATCTTCAATTACTATCTAATGAACAGCTGAACTGAAAAACTTGTGGTATTCCCTATCAGTTAAAGTAATGCTTTTTTTAAGGGCACGAGAGGGTGGTGTTTTCTTGAGAAATACACATTCAATGGTGTTAACACAGGTTAGAAAAAAATCCAATAAAATGATCCCCACCGAAACAAATACATTCAAAAATCACAAAAAGTACTTTTCACACAAAATACAATCATCTTGTTGTTCAAAATGATCGCACAACACTGTGAAATAAACATCAACAAAAGTGCCAAAGACAGATGTTGTATTTGTTAGACTAATTCATTAGGAAATCTCCCTTGGTTTACAAAAGTTAACCCGGTCAGCTTTCACCTTGTTTTGCTTGTTTGCTTCTCCTATGACACTAAGGATCCTGGCTGGTATCATTTAGATAAAGTGGAATTCCTTAGGCAGATTTCAGCCATAGTGAATGTGAAACTGTAACACATTTCATTGAAAGATGGTTTTTAAAAAAATCAAAGTGCCTTCAGCCAAATTCAAAAAATTGATCCTGCTTACATGGAAACTTTGGCCTCAGCAAATGAAAATTGCTCTACACCTCCAAACCACCTCCGTCTCCTCACCGCCTACCTACTCCACGCAGCCTACCTGCTACAGATGATCAGGAAATGGACCATGCCACAACTTCAGGTCTGATGAATGCCAGGTAGTTAAAATATAAAGTAAAAGAATTTTGAGGAGGGAGGGCGGGACCCACAAAGCATCCCCAGAGAAGCAGAAGTGCAGGCACTCACTTGGGTTTGAAACTGAAGTGAAAGAAAACATCTTCTCCTCAAAGTTCCAGACAAACAGACGCTTTCACATGGGGATATTAGTCTTTGAGGAGGGGCCAAAAGAACCCCTCGGGAGCTTGACAATGCTAGACCTTTGGCTCAGTGCAAAATCAAAGCTCCAAGGGGTGGGGGGAGGAAACATATTCCAGGCCGGGACCTGATCTCCACCCTTCCCAGTGCATTGTTCACAGGAACTAACTACCCACCGACACCCGGCCCCACCAGGCCGTTCGTGTTCTCCCTCTTCCTCCCTCTGGCTCGCAGCAGCTCCCCCTGGCAGCAGTGGAAGCCCAGAGATTCGTTTCCAAACGCTGGGGCGGTGGGTGACCTTGTAAGAGCTTCCGGTGGGTCGGCAGCTTCCAGTTTTAAGAAGAAGAGTTGACGTTTCCAGAAGACATAATGGTCTCTGGGTTGTCCGCCTCGTCTTTCTGGGGGTGGGATGAGTTGTCCGATTTACTGCGGCTGAACTCCACGCCGGCGACGATGGGTCGCTTGAACTTGCCGGGGGCGTCTCCGCTGGGGCACTTGCAGCAGGACACGATCCGGATGAAGGCCCTGCGCATCTCCTTGTTGGTCAGAGTGTAAATGATGGGGTTGGTGCCGGAGTTGAGCACAGCTAACACCAGGAAGTACTCGGTTCTGAAGAGGATGTCGCAGGTCTTCACCTTGCAGCCCACATCCAGCAGCAGCAGGATGAAGAGCGGCGCCCAGCAGGCGATGAAGACGCTCAGGACGATGATCACTGTCTTGAGCAGGGCCAGCGACTTCTCGGAGCTGCGGCTGGCCTTCGAAACGTTCTTGCGGAAGGTCAGCCGGCGGCTCCGCGTCCTGACCAAGGAGTAGATCCTGCAGTACAGAATGACGATGGAGAGCAGCAGCAGCGTGAAGACTGTGGTGCAGAAGAGGATATAGTGCTTGTGGTAGAGCGGCAGCACGGTGGAGCAGCTGGGCAGCGCGCTGATGCAGTTCCAGCCCATGATGGGCAGGCCGCCCAGGATCAGGGAGATGACCCAGCAGGCGCTGATGAGCAGGAAGGAGCGGAAGCTGTTGCTCCCGTTGTGGAGTTTCATCTTCAGCATGGTGATGTAGCGCTCGATGGCGATGGCCAGGAGGCTGAACACCGAGGCAGACAGAGCCACAAACATGCTCCCTTCCCGCAGAAACCACTGGGCGGGCGTGAGCTTGTAGGTGGTGGCCCCAGACAAGAGCAGGTTGGCTGTGTAGGCCACTCCTGCCAACAGGTCTGAGAGGGCCAGGTTGCCAATAAAATAGTACATGGGGCGGTGGAACTTCTTGGTTTTCCAAATGGTCAGCAAGACAAAGATGTTCTCCAGGATGATAAAGCAGCAGATGAGAATGAACACCACCGAGGTGGGTTTAATGGCGTTCTCCTTGTCCGCGCTGATATTCAGCTTTCCCGTGTAGTTGTAATGCCGGACGATGATATCATAGTTGACATAATCGGAGACCGAGCTGCGGAGGGCCTTGACCAGCGGGATGCTGGTGGACCCCATAATGCCGCACTGTGTCCCCAGGAACCCGGGGTGGCGCCTCTCCGGACGAACGCTAGAGGGCGAGGCCGAGAGAACCTTCAATCGCTGCAAGGGTGGTTCAGCGAAAGATCCAGGCTTTTTGTGTCGCTTTTCCTTGGCTGGAGAGGGCCTCGGAAACCGCAGCCTTAAACAAGTCACAGAACAGAAAGTCAGGGAAAAAGCCACAGCACACTGTCATAATTCATTCTAGTTAAGGCATTGCTCCAATTTCGCTATTGTTGATTTGTTTTAGGGAAACTTGGGGAGAGCTCAGGGAGAGGGAATTTTTAAAAAAAATCTGATTATTATTTCTTGCAGAAAAGGAAGAGGAGGAAGAAAACCCAAAAGTCTACCTAAAGGCAAAACTCCAACTGGACAAGATGAAAACTCTCTCTAGAGTCATATTCACTCCAAGGGAAATGGGAAACCTGGGGAAGTGCGCCCCATTTTAACTCCACTCTGGCCCTCTCGCTCCACCCCCACCAAGCCCCATCCTCCCCACTGACCCACCAGCCCCCCAACTCCGATTTCTAGCGGGGAGATTTTCTGAAGCAGTCACCAGCTCAGCTGCGTTCTCACCACCAGCCCACGCTCTCTTCCGAAAAGACCACAGCTGCCAATCTGAGGGCGGGACGCGCATCTCTGCCTCCCACCCCACACCCCCAGCTCAAAGAGATGAGCACCTCCTCCCCATTGCCATGCAAGAAATCATATTTGCACGAAAATTATTTGACAGCGTAAGTCATTTTCTGGGTTCTATTAATAACTCTCTAGCAGCAGATGTGCTGAGGGTCCGAGGGCGCAGTGAGGTGTGGGCAGCCCGGCCCGCCCCGCCTTGCGGTAAACAGGAAAGCTCGGTGAAGCAACTGCCTTTTCTTTCTTCTTCTTCTTTTTTTTTTTTTTTTTCCGAAAGCCAGTTCAAGTAAATTTAAAAGTATTCAGTGAAAACCATTCACAAGAGATTGCAGCAAATCCCAGAAGTTTCGTACATTAATTGATTGCATATTTTTAGTTTAGTTTAGCCAGAGCACACACGTAAGAGAGAGAAGTCATGCTACTGATGATAACAATACATGCCACACATTTCTAACTTCGAGTGCAAAACCACTTTCTAGAAACTCGCATTACGGACCTTCGGTGCATTACTAAACTTGCGTGGGCAGTTGCATTTACTGCCGTTCCCCAACATGTTGCCTCCTCTCATAGAACAATAAAGTTAGAAAGGAACGACACAAGGCATTGTCAGCAGAAGTGTACTTTTAAGTTGTTTAAATGTTTCAAGGTAATGCAGCAATGTGAGAAAAATGAAGTAATAGAGGCAGGGAAAATTCCAGCAATTCCCGGAACAGCAGGGGCTGCTCACGCCGAGAAGCTCCGCGTGTCCCCCCCCCACTACTCCGCACTCTGCTCGCCGGCAGTGCGAGTTTAAGCCAGGACCCCGTCCCCTATATTCTTTGTCTATAGGATTTCCAAAAATAAGCTCCTTCCCTTCCTCTCCTCAGACCTCCCGCAGCTCCCACTCCCCCGCCCCAGTCAGTTCTACGGTTGGGAATTAACCCTTTTCCAAACTCCACAAATCACCAGTGCCCAAGAACAGTCCCATCGAGTGGGGCTCGTTCCTTAGTAGCCCAGAGATGCAAGTTCTCAGAGCCCAGAGACGGATGCTTTCAAAGTTTTTGTATGCTTTGTTCAGTTTAAAAATTCGTTTCTGACACCAAAGCCCTCTCGCAGAGGGGCTCCCGGAGTCTCCCCGCACCCCCGGCCCGCGCTGCTCGCAGCCCCTACCTCGCTCAGGCAGGGCGGAGTTGCGTTCGGAGAGCTCCGGGTCTGCACGGCGCGCTCCGCATCTTGCCGCTGCCCCGACTGACTGCGTCGCGCTCTCGCAAACTCACTGGAGTCGGGGTCCCCTCCCTCCGCAGCAGTGCACTCCAATGGCCTGTCGGGTTCTCCGCGGCCGGCTCCTGCCAGCAAAGCGAAGTCGCGCAGCGCCGCGCCAGGGCCGAGTGGCTTCTCTAGGAAGAGACTGGGAGGGGTTAACGCTTTGCCCCCCCACGCCCTCCGCCTGCGGGTGGGGGCTCCCGGATCTGCGCTGCTGAGAAACACGGTCCAGAAAAGAACTGGGGCAGAAAAAAAACAGGAGGGGCGGAGCCTGGTAACCCCGGGTTCTAATGTATAAATCACTGCCAGCGCCCAGATATCCGCCGCTCCCGGCGGTGGAAGAGGATACTCTGGAGCCCTGGAGAAGAGAGGCGGTGGAGACCCTTTGCAAACTTTTCTCCCGAAAGTCTTAGGGGGCAGCGGACGACCCGGCGTCTCGTAGCGCACCTCCCTGGTCCCTCATTGCCCGCAGCGCTAGGAGGATCCAAGTCCCAAGACTGGCCAGGCGCCCCCAGGGCCACTTTCGAGGGGGCGGGGGACACCCGAGCTGCGCTCTGGGAAGGAGAGGCTGGGAAGGGGCTGCGACAGGTATGGAGGGAGAAGGGGCCGGGAGATTCCGGTGCGCTGTCATTCCCCCACGCCTGATCCCGGCTGCCTGGAAACTTGTTGTCCGAGGGGCGGAAAGTGGCTTCCCCAGCGTGCACTGTGAAATGGGCCAGCGCCGACCTAGTGTTGGGTGGGGGTTTCCCTCGCTCAGCTGGGCTCTAAGTCAGGCCGTTTGTCCCAGATTCTGGCCAATGGCGAGGCCTTAGAGGAGGTGGGCTGCTGACGAGGCCTGAGAGATTTAAAAAGCTTGGGCAGCTCAGGAATTTCCAAAGGGGAAGAGCCGCCCTGCCCAGCTGTGGTGGGCGCCCGGCTCTCACATTCTACTTAGGAGGCAACTCAAAGGTCCCCAAATCTCAGTACTCGCACCTCGCCCATCCTTACCTTCTGCCTTGATGCTGCTTAAGAACGTGAGGGTGAGAGGTGGTCTCGGTCAGATCTGCCTGAGTGGCAAGTTCAGGGTACTTCTGCCCCTGCCCTGCTGTTTGTTACAAGGAAGGCTTCCACCCGGCCCCTGGTCGCACCGCTTACCATCCCGGCAGATGTGAACTCAAAACTTCCTCGCTGTGCAGTTTCAATTGATAGGCACACCCTGTACCTGAATGACTCAGAAGGAGGCTGAATGAATAAACAACAGACCCCTGGCTTCTGGGATTTTATGAGTTTGCAAAAAAAAAAAAAATTAAGCGACAGTTAATTCACACATACCAGGGAATTCAACAACAGTAAGTTCATACAATGTGGAAACTAAGATAACAGTCCCCTAGACTTCAGAATAGACCCCGACCATGTCTGAGGATAAAAGGGAGGGTATATTGTGTCTATCCAGTGTAACAAAAGTGGGGACTTGGAAACCCCACCCCCCACACACTAATTCATGAATTTTTTAAAGGGAAATAAATTAATGTGAATTTCACACCTGGTCTGTGTCAAGCATGTGATACATTAATTTAACACTACTGCTCTGTGAAGCAAGCAAGCATTGCTGCTCATTTTATTGTTGAGGGAAATGTCACTCAGACAGCTTAAGTAACTTGTGCATTTCCCAGCTAGTGAGTGGCAGAATTGTGTTCTAAAACTTAAATACTGCAAATGCCTTGTCTCCTAGCTCAAATGCCATCAGTCAATGAACACTTAAGGGATTGAAATGTATGTTCCTGCAGGGAAGCAGACCTCCAGATTTAAAGTTTTAAATTTGTACATGTCAACAATGTACATAAAAGTATCCTAATGAATGTCCTTTTTAAGCCATTGATTTTCTGTATATGTATACAAAGTGTATATGTATGTATATTAATGAATGTTTTGGGGTGCTCTTTTTAGGAGACAGGGTCTAGCTCTGTTACCCCTGCTGGAGTGCAGTGGCCAGATCATAGCTCATTGCAGCCTCAAACTCCTGGGCTCGAGTGATCCTCCTGCTCCAGCCTCCCCAGTAGCTGGGACTACAGGCACAGTGCACTACCCCACCTGGTTAATTTTTTCATTTTTTTAGAGACAGTCTCCATATGTTGCCCAGGCTGGTCTCGAACTTCTGGGCTCAAGGGATTCTCCCATCTCAGCCTCCTGAGTCACTGGGATTATAGGCATGAACCACAACACCTAACTTTTAATGAATGTTTTCTAAAACCTCTCATTGCCTGCCTATGATATCTAATGTAAGGTTGTACTCTTAGTATTTGTGTGCCAGATTGTAAGTGTTACACATATTAACTCATTTAATCCTTACAATGACCCTACAAATTAGCTCATACAAAACAAGGAAGCTGAGTCCCAGACACAATAAGCAACTTGATTAATGTGGAATATGCCCATAGACAAGCTGCAGACTCTTAATCACGACTCCAAACCACCATGATAAACCTCAAAGAGGTTAAAGAACTTCACTGGGGAAATCTGCTTTTCTTGTGAATACCATTGGTAAGGACAACACTCAATATTGATCCAATGTTTTAAAGAGTCCAAATACTTTGCAGATAATTGTTTAGTAATATTCATTTTTAGTGCACATCTAGGGGATATATAGAACATAGAAGACCCACTCGGGCAAAATTAGAAAGTAGGCAAAGCTGCTTCCTGCCAATTCCAAGTCTCCAGTTCCCACACACATCTCTTCCCAACGCTCTCAAGAGAGGCCCTAAGAATTGCAACCTCGAGCTATCTCCTGGCTGCCAGCCCAACTCCCTTTCCGCTGCTGCCTGGAAGCCAAGACCAGTGTTCCTACCTTATTTCTCATCACACGGAGTTTACCATCTGATGCCTAATACACATTAAGGTTGCTTCATTCCCAATTTCTGATTTCAAATGGCTTTGCTGTTCTTTATGCATGCTTTAGTGTCTCTCTTCAAGGGCTGCCAGATAAAGTACCATGCAATCTTTAGGGCATATACTAATAAAATATGTGTTGTCAATCTGCCATTCGAATGTAACTGGGCAAGCTGGCTTTTGTTTGCTAAATCTGGCAACTCTACTCTCTTTCCTGATTGTTCCAGTCACTTTATAACTCCCTTTTCTCCCCATTAATCACTGGTAAAGATCCAGCTTATCCCTCATTTATTTGCAAGAGAATAACTAGCCTCTTACTTCATGGAGAAAACAGTATAAACACCTCAATTTCCCTTCTCTCCAAGTTCCAGCCTAATAGCAACTTCACCCACATTTACCTCCTTCCCACCTGTTTCAGAAGTCAAAGCAACTTTATTCCTTCTCAAGGCAAACTCTTGCCCATGTCACCATTCTGTGTCCTCCAAAAAGATGCAGGTCAATTACTCCTTCTCTCTCTCATATTATACTTTCAATTATTGGCTTCTGATGACTCTTTCCCTTCAACTTACCTGAATGTTTATGTGTTTCCTCTACCAAAAACTCACTGTCTTCTCCTCATTCTGGGTCCCAATACCTCTCTCTTCTCTTGTTTGCCAACATTCAAAACTGTGTAGTGGAACGTGATTGAGCCTTGGAACCAAACAGACTTGGGTTCAGCCTTAATGCTGCTGCTTCCAACCTGTGTGACTCTGGACAATTTCCCTTGACTTCCTTGAGCCTCAGCTTCCTCATCCCTAAAATGGTGCGATGATATTTGTCTCTCTCAGTCATTGCCTCTCTCAGGATTAAAGAGCTTCACATGTGTAAGAGTTCTCTGTAGACAAAATGCTTCATTCTCCCACCACGTCTATCTCTCACTTTGTTATAGTCATTGCTTTTATTATCTCAATTTCCATCTTTTCACTCACTTTCCCTTTAGATTTTCAAATAAAATTATTTTCAAGTCAAAATAATATGTGCACATCATTTTCAAAAAGTAGTACAATACTTGCAATGGAGAGCATAAGTCTTCAGAGGCTCCCTGGTACCTCAATTCTCCCAGTCACTGTTAAGTCTTGTTGATGTTTCTTCTGGTGGCTACTTGCAAATCTCTAAATCCCATGTCTCATACTTCTATTTCTTCGTTATCAGTCTTAGATGATACTTACAGATTTTCTGCCATGTTGAAGGCATATTAATTCACTCAACTTTGGGGCATATATGTGTTACAAGCTTTCTAAATTCTTGCATGTCTGATATTTTTAAAATTCTATTTTACACTTGACTAATATTTCGGCTGAGGATCAAGTTAAAGATTATAAGTAATTTCACTGAGAATTTTTCAAGCATTACCCTCTTGTCTTTTAATTTCTAGGGCTACTCATAAAAAGTCTAAAGCTATTCTGGCTCCAAAACTTCACCTGTGACTATTTTTCACCTCTGAATGTTTTTGGAAACTTCTCTTTCTCTTCAGTGTTCCAGAATGACACAATGATATGTTCATTTTTCAAGTCCTTTGTTGTTCTGGAAATTATCTGGAATGATTTCTTTGATAACTTCATCTTCTCTGCTTTCTCTATTTTCTCTTTCTGGAGCTCCCACTATTCAGATTGTAGACCATCTGGGTTGGATTTTAATTTCCTTATATTTTATTTTCATTTTCTATTTCTTTTTTGTTGTTGTTCTTTCAACACTTCAGTTAATATTTCCCTTTTCATTATCATACTTTTCATTTCCAAGTGCTCTCTTTTTCTTTTATGAATGTTACATTTCTACAGACACTTGTTCTTATTTTAGGGATGCCACATCTTTAGTTCTGAGGATATTAGAATGTTGTTAGAATGTTGTTGTTGATGATGATGTTTTCTTCCATCTTATTGTCTTATTTTCTTATTTGTTCTGCTCTCAGTCCTTTGTGCCAAAGGCTTTCCCAATCATCAGATGATCTCTGGCTATCTATTCACATTTCAGAGAGAGGCACTGAAAGCTAATTAAAAACTTTGTGCGGGGCTCATCAGTGGAGGTGTGGAGGGTGATCACACTGGACACTTTTGTTGGAGGACCCCAAATGTCAATATCCGGAAATCTCTCCTTTTGGGCAGGTTATTTTCACCAGAGAGGAATTCTAAAATCTCTCATCTGCCCTCTCACATTTTCCTGAGTGAACCAAAGAAGAAAAGTAGGGGAGAACAGAAGGGGGAACCTCACCATTCAATATTTAGATTTGAACTGAATCACCGTGTTGGGGACCCCCCTACACACACTCAGCTCTATCAAGTGTTCCTGAGTCCAGAGACTCTCTGATTTAACCCATTCAGAGAATAAACCTCCAGTCTTCTGCTGGACTGCGGTTATTGACGTTTACCCTATTGTACAGGTTGGAGATGGAGGGCTGGAAATTTGACTGCTTATTTTAATTAAAATAATTGTATTTTAAAATTAAACGGAAAATAAAGGGAAAGCGAGATATTGAAAGCCATGAGTTCGGTAGGGTTAGAGAGAAGTGGTGCAGTGTGTGTGGAACATTTTCTCACTATTACAGTGGATGGTTTACAATCAGTCTTCGTATTTTCAGATCAGTATTTACTGCCACTTTCATAAATGTCTGGAGTTTCTGATTTCTGATCTTCCTTCAAGATCTGCAATGGGAATTTAGTTTGCCTCTAGGATCCTCCTGCTGCTGGCTCAGATCTCAACTTTCTCTGGTTTGTCAAGCCAGTTATACACAATTTGTTTTCTAAAATTTTATTCCTATTATTACAGGCAAATTAACCTTAAAACTAACGTAGCTTAAACTTGAGTCCTTCATCTCCAAGTTCCTAAAAGGAGCCCTAGCAATATACCCACATGGTTTTATGTTTTTGTAAAATATTAAAGGCAAGGTATTTTAACCAGAGTTGGCTAAGATTAACTAAGATTGCTGTCTTATTCCATTAGGAAGTCCTTCTATTTCATTTTTCCTTGTGTAGGGGTTATTTTGGAGCTGCTGAAGGCATTTTTGGGATCTGGCCAATAGGAAGTTGAATTTGGGCTACATTTAGTTTGAATTTAGAAGGATTCTAAATGAGAAATGAAATGAGATTCACAGTTACTTCCATATGATCACTAACCATCCTAGTGTAAAATGGTTTT